AATCTACCTTTTATGCATGGGTATTTTATGCATAAATATTTACTGTTATATACCAACAGCACTTTTTTTGTTCAATCTCCCACATTTATATCATTAGTATTGGGACAAATGGGTTTGCAGCTGTTTTTAACTGCTACGGGGTTACACATTGCATACATTTCACACACATAAAAGTGTGAAGGTCTAGGCATGTTTGAGGTCTTGTGAAACTTATTTTGAAGTAATTCACCTGAATTAGTCATCAAAAACCAACATGAAGATCAGAGAGCTCTCTGATAGAAAAGAAGGCCATTTTAAAAATGAGAGGAAAGAAAATGACCATCAAAGAAATTAAGAGTCTTGGCATTGCAAAATCAACGATCTGGAATGTTCTTAAGAAAAGGAAACAACTGGAGTCACGAGCAGAGAACAAGGCATCCCAAAAAGTCAAATGCAGTGGATGACAGAAAAATATTTCTCAGTCTAAAGAAAAACCTCAAAATTACTGATAATAAAATAAAATAATCTCCAGAGTGTGGAGGTGCGAATCAGAAGGTTTCACCAAGAAAATTTCAGACACTGTACTAAAAGGTATTAGCCCCTCATCAGCAGCAAGAACAGAAGGTCTCAATTGGAATTTGCAAAAAAATACTGAGGTGAGCCACAGGAGTTCTGGAGCAAGGTTTTATGTACAGATGAAACCAAAATAAACATCTATCAAAGTGACGAAAAGGTGAGAAAAACAGGAGCAGCCAACGATCATAAGTATACCACTTCTTCAGTAAAGCATGGTGGAGGGAGAATCAATAATAATAATTTATTAGTCATAGTAGTAGTATTAATAGATCACCCACCTGGATTATGCAATGGCAGCCACAGTGCGCCAGTACACTCACCACACATCAGCTATCACTGGGGAGGAGAACAGAGTGACTAAGCAGATTTGTAGATGGGATTATTAGGAAGCCATGTTTGGTAAGGCCAGGGGAAAATTTGGCCCTTAGTGTATTGATTAGTGTAGAGGTAACACCTCTACTGTTTTTGAGAAATGCCCTGGAATTTTTAAATGACTATAGAGAGTCAGGACCTTGATTTTATATCTCATCAGCAGGACGGCGCCTTTTTACAGTATAGTGTCCCCATCACTATTGGACCCACAAACACCTCTTCCAACAGCAACCTTAGTTTTTTTTCCAGGAGTTCTCCCATCCAGGTACTCCCACCCCAGGTACTGAAGATGGCAGCGGTTGGATGAACTCAGAGATATACAAACAGATCTTTTAAGAAAAAATGGCACAAGACTGTGATTATGCAGCAGGACAATGACCTGAAACTTACTGCACACTAAGGTGCATGTTAATCAGTCAGAAAAAGTGGAACATTTTAAGTTCAATTTCACATTTATATGTCATTCCAGCCATCTACAACTATACAGTGGAATGAAATATCGTTCCTCCTGGTCCACTGTGCAAATACAGACAGGACACTGACATAGACATTGTAGACAGGATACACATAGTGCAAAGTGCAGATAGTGCAAATACATAATACATTATACACAACACACTGGGGGGGATTTAAGCCCTGTTTCTGGAATTGGGGTGGGTGCAAGTAGATTCCAGGGTGTTGAGGAGCCTGACAGCCTGCGGGAAGAAGTTGTTACAGAATCTGGTGGAGCTGGCCCGTATACTGTGATATCTTTTTCCAGATGGTAGGAGGGCAAAGAGTTTACGGGAGGGGTGGGAGGAATCATCTACTATACTGAAGGCCCTGTGTTAGCAGGGTAAGCATGGGAGGCTCCAATGATCTTTTCATCTGTTTCTGCAATTCGTTGCAGGGTCTTGCGGTCTGAAGCGTTGCAATTAGCAAACCAAACAGTGATACAGCTGGCCAATGGTGCTTCTGTAGAAAGTGGTATGAATGGGTGGGGGAAGGTTTGTCCTCCTCAGTCGCCACAGGAAATAGAGACGCAGCTGTGCTTTCTTGGCTAGGGAGGTGGTATTTAGGGACCGAGTGAAGTCATCTGTAATGTATACATCAATAAACTTGATGCTTCTAACTGTCCCCACAGGGGAGTCGTTGATGTGCAGTGGGGAGTGATCAGCGTGGGCCCTCCTGAAGTCAATGATTATCTCTTTTGTATTGTTTACGTTAAAAGACAGGTTGTTGTTTGTGCACCAGTCCACTAGTTGCTCTACCTCCTCTCTGTATGGTGACTCATCATTATAATAATAATAATAATAAACTTTATTTTATATAGCACCTTAAAGGTGGCTTCTCAAAGCGCTTTACATCATTGTTGCTAATGAGGCCCACCACTGTCGTGACATCGGCAAACTTGATGATACAGTTTGAACTGTGCATCTCAGGACAGTCATGAGTCATCAATGTGAACGGCAGTGGGCTGAGCACATAGCCCTAGGGGGTTCCGGTGCTCATTGTGATGGTGCTGGAGATGTTATTACTGATCCGGACTGTCTGAGGTCTCTCGGTTAGAAAGTCCAGAATCCAGTTACAGAGGGAGGTGTTGAGGTTCAGCAAGCTCAATTTTTCTGTCAGCTTCTGGGGGATGATTGTATTAAATGCTGAACTGAAGTCAAACGAAAAGCATTCTTACATAAGAGTTTTTCTTATCCAGGTGGGATAGGGCCAGGTGAAGGGCAAGAGATACAGCATCATCAGTAGACCGGTTGGGGCGGTATGCAAACTGAAGGGGGTCCAGAAGGGTAGGGAGTCTGGACTTTATGTGGCTCATGACTAGTCTCTCGAACCTCTTCAGAATAAGTGGTGTGAGTGCCAGAGGGCGATAGTCATTGAAGCAGGAAACAGCCGACTTCTTTGGCACTGGTATAATAGTGGTGGATTTGAAGCATATGGGGATGACCACCTGGCACAAAGAGATATTAAAAATATCTGTGAGGATGTAAGCTAGCTGTTCTGCACATTCCTTGAGCACACAACCAGGTATATTATCGGGTCCAGCAGCCTTACGTGGATGAACTTTGGCTAGTGTCCTCCTTACATCAGCTGCGGACTGGCAAAGCACCTGATCCTCGGGAGGAAGTGTGGTTTTTGTCGCAGGAACAACGTTCATTGATTTAAACCGTGCATAGAAGTTGTTCAGCACATCTGGGAGGGAGGCATCACTGTCACTGACAGGTGGGGTAGTACTGTAATCAGTAATGGCCTGGATGCCCTGCCACATGTGCCGCCAATCTTTAGTGTCTGGGAAGTGGCATTGGATTTTTCGTGCATAGGAGCACTTTGCCTCCCTGATGGTACAGGACAGGTTGGCCCTAGCAGTCCTGAGGGCTGCCTTGTCGTCTGATCTGAATGCAGCATCACGGGTTCTTAGCAGTGCACGGACCTCTGCAGTCGGCCAATGCTTCTGGTTGGCCCGTGTGATGGTGGATTTGGAGACCGTGACATCATCTATACACTTACTGTTGTAGCCAGTCACAGATGCTGCATACTCCTTTAAGTTAATGAGATGTTCATAGGTCGCAGCCTCCCTGAATATATTTCAGTCTGTGTGCTAAAAACAGTCCTGTAATGCTGAGATGGCTCCATCTGGCCTTACTCTGATCTGTTTCAGAACTGGTTTGGCACATTTGAGCAGCGATTTGTATGCCACAGAGATGTGGTCAGAGTAGCCCAGGTTGGGTGCAGGGAACCACTTTGTATGTGTCATGGATGTTTGTATAAACTATGTCTAGTGTGTTCACCCCTCAGGTTGCAAAGTTAACATATTGATAAAATTTAGGGAGAACTGACTTAAGATCTGTGTGATTGAAGTAGCCAGCAACAGTGACAAAGCCATCAGGATGAGTAGGATGAGTAAACTGGCCAAGTTAGATCGATCATCAGATCTGAATCCAATTGAGCAAGCATTCCATTTCTTCAAAAGGAGACTGAAGGCAGAAAGCCTGACCAACAAGCAACAACTTAAAATAGCTGCAGTTAAAGTCTGGCAAAGCATCTCAATTGAAGAAACGGAGTCTGGTGATGTCAATGGGACAGAGGCTTGATGCAGTTCACTTCTTTAATTTGCTTTAAGTGTCCCAATAGTATGGGCAACTAAATATTGGGGAACTGACCAGAACATATGCTTTAGTTGAAAACTGATTAAATGTGTTTGCAAAATATATCCTTAAAATAAAAGCTGACCTTCTGAACTCTGACTTAGAATAATTTATTTAATGTGAATGTGAATGTGAATTTAATGTGTGTATACAGCAGGGAAATGCCAATTTTAGGTGTTTGTCTCAATACTTTTGGAGGGCAATGTATATGTTCCATACCCATTTTATACATAAGGGGATTCATGCGGCAGTTTCCTTGAGATGAAAAACATTGCTAAATTCCATGTATTCCTTTAGTACAGATTGCCCCAGACAGCAGATTTCTTGGGATAAAAAATCTGAATTCCATGTATTCTTTTAAAAAAGTGTCATCTTTAAAATGTTAGAGACTAATTTGATAAAATTCTATTTATGGCTTTTAGTAGATGATATATTATGTATTATTAATTTCTTTGAATTTTCTTTGAAAAACCTTTTAATAAAAAATAGACATGCATGATTTATTTAAATCACATAAAAGTGATATTTTGGTGTTTTCCACTGTCATGAAATTCTCATTTCAAACTTCCCCTTAGTAAAGATGCCAACTAATCATAAATCCGTATGCATGTTTAAATAAATGTAGTACTTCCCTTAAAAAATAAAACTATGTGGTGAATTTAAATGTAATAGGAAGAAAGCATAATGTGAACCCGATGACTATAGCATTATTTTGTATTTTAGAAGTTTAAGCAAAAATATATTTATATTTATAAGGTATAAAGTGAATTAGAAAACTATTCCCATTCATATTAGTGACTGGTTAAAATTTGTCAGATTACATTGGCTAATTAAAGTTTTAATTACCCTTTTCTTTTGAATCCAGAATAATGATTTTTGATGCACATGTCATTAAGAAAACAAACACCATATTCAATTTAAACTGTTTGTTCAGCTTCCAGATCAACCCAGTCCTCCAGTGGTATGAGACAGCAAGTACAAAGATATCCTGTGCCAGATGGTGGGAACCCATCTGTGCCTGATTCTTCTATGCTGAAGAAAAATTCAGAACCTGTAAGCACTACAAGAGACAGCCCTGGATGCCCTGGGATGACAGCTCCGGCCCCACCACTGCCACCTTCAGCATGCAATAAACCAGCATTTTCCATGCCCCTTACTCCATATGTTTCACTACCCCCTCCACTTTTCCAAGAGAGACCCGGCAAAGACCTACCTTCTCCATCTGGTCCCCTGCCCCCCTCTCTCTCCTTCCCATCCCCTCTAGGCAATAAACCCACCTGGCTACCACCGCAAACACCTGCCACACCTCTGAAGTCTGTTAGTCCACCTCCCCCTCCAGCTCTGCCTCCATCCAGTGTCCCTGACAGGTCTTCTGGCATTTTCTTTTCCCCTCTTCCCCCTCCCCCTCCCCCTCCACCACCAATGTTGTCTGACAACAGTTTTAGGGACAGCCTATTGTTTTTTCCCCCACCACCTCCCCAACTTCCAACTTCTTATTCCTCTACCCACTCATCTTCCTTTCCCCCTCCCCCTCCTCCATTACCTTCTGGTGCTAACTCAACCGAGATGAACACACTTCCACCTCCACCTCCTCCTCCAAAGATGCCCCCAGTGCCATCTCCAACCTGCAGGCCAGGCATGCCTCCACCTCCTCCTTCTCTGCCCTCTGTAGTACCAGCCAGACGCCCTCCAGGAATCCCCAGAGCTGGAGGTACAGTATTTGCCGGTGCTGAGCTTGATGATGTCTGATGGAAGAAGTCTTTTAGGAGTGTCCCAGTTACTGATCCATCTAGCTTATTTTATCGGTATCTGGTCATTGATCTGGGGATCTTAACCAACCATTAATTGAAAGTAGTCAGTGTATGCACTTATCAGCTTTGAGAGCATTGCTGGGTGGCCTCTCTATGTAAAGAAATCCCTCTGACTTAAATGCATTTCCAGTTCCACTGGTTCATTTCAAATTCAGATTGAATGATGTCAAACAAATCCCTTGAGTTGACTTTGTTACAACTTTTGAGGATTTTGGATATCCTCACGTAGACTTCTGTGAGCGAGATTCAATTCTTTTAGCCTCTAGGAATGTAAGCTACAGTATGTAGGACATTTCTTTAAGCTTTAGAAATGCAAATGTACAAGTAATAGGTTTATTCCCTGCTGAAAAGAGAAGAAAAGAAACACGTTTCGGCTGTGGAGTCTTCTTTGGGTGTGGGCTTCACGGCCAAAATTTCTTTTTTCTTTTCAGCGTGGAATAAACCTTTATTTGTCCCATTGCAGCCTACGCATGCTGATGTAGCTCCCTACTTGAACAGCTTTAGAAATGTACTTGTTCCCTCTTCTTTGAATTGATTTCAAAGCAGCAATATTCTGTTTTAAACCAAAGTGCATTATTTAATTTTAACAAAATATTTCTGTACAAACTGGTTTTCATTACATAACATTGAGCATCTTTTATTAATTAAATCTTAAGGTTAAAATATACTTTATTAAAACATGCTGAGGAATCAATGTCATATTGTGTCACTACCCTGACACAGAAGGAAAAGCTGTAGAGAAACAATTGGTACATACTGAATGAGGCAACATTTGAGGTTCACCTTTATATAGTTCAACAGTGAAGTACCTTTGTATGTGTTGTGTTTATATCCAACTTTTGGAAGAAATTCTTAATTTTCATAATGAGCACAGAATACCTAAACTACATTTTTTCAAGGCAAAGACAATGCATTTATATAATAACACTTTCTAAATAGTTAAAAGTATAATATATATTAAGACTGAAACCTGTCACTTACTCAGATCTGTGTGGTGACACTGTTCCATTTTAAGATGTTGCACCAAAGAGAATTCTGTTCTACAGTGAACTCTTTTTTGTGTTAATGTCCTGGTGTAAATGTTCTTTTAGATTCCTTTACCATTTGTCTCCTCTGTAAAATACATAATTTGTTGTTTTTTTATTTCAGAAAACTAAATTACTTTCACACAATTTATCATACTTTCTCACAGCTGCAGAGACTGGGAAGTGTGAATGCATGTGTGCCATTTCAAGTAGCTTTAAGGAAACAATCTCAAGGATGTGAATGAAAATATAACCACTTTAGGTTTAAGACAACATACTGTAGCGGAGGCACTGTAGCATTATTTATGCTCCTCCTGGCTGTTGTGTACCCAGCTTAGGCATTTTCTGTCTTCCACAGGAGGGGGAAGGTTGGCTCCCCCCCCAGCTCCTCCTGCTCGGTCTCCTTCCACCGAGCTTTCCAGTCGAAATCAGGTGCCCCCCAACTCTAGCTGGGGACCAACACCACCACCACCCCCACCACCTCCTCCCTTTCTGAAGAATAGCCAGATGCCCTCCCTAGGTAAACAGCATTCCATTTTACTCACTCTGCAATGAGCTCATTTACGATATTTTTTGTCATCAAATAATCAAAATAAAACACCTGTGTTTCTTAATATCCCTTACTGTTTTCCACACAGAAAATGAGTCTACTTCTTCTGAATGACAAAATCGCCATTAAAGTTGATAATACATTTAATTTTTGGAAATCTATTTTAATGTTTATTTTTAGGATTGTGCCTTAATACAATTACTGTAGTTCTTTCTACATTCTGTCTTTTATGATTTATTAAGTTTGTTTTTACTAATTATTAGATAATCAAGAGTAGAATCAATGTTGTGTTTATTTAATTGTGTTTCATTTTTAGATGACTTTGAGTCAAAGTTTCATTTTCACTCAGTTGTTGATTTTCCACCACCTGAGGAATATAAACAATTCCCCAGAGTATATCCAAGTAAAGAACCAAGAGGTAAGATAATAACAACTTTGATATTTGAATCATTCCTTACCATTTGCTTTTGCACAGTGGAGTTACACTTAAAGGAAAAGTAATGGGGAACAGAACAGGTCCTATATATATAATATAGGATTCTATACATTTCTGGTTCTAATCCAGCCTATGGAAGCTTAGTGTAATGGCATTGAGACGGATATAATATTTGAGAGATCAAAATAATAAGGATTATAGACAAAAGCATATTATTGTTCCACCTAGTCAGTTTGATAGTAAGTGATCCAAAAATCTCATTCAGTCATTTCTTGAAAAAAAACAAAGAGTATCTTCATCAGCAACATTGCTGAATACCTTGCTCCATACTCCTCAAGCCTTTAGGGAAGGTAGTGCTTATTGTTAAAAGTTTTTACCTTTGCGCTCATAAGACTTAATCATCCCTGGATGAGCCTGAACCACCAACCTTT